TTTTTTTTGTGGGGTTTTCACATTTCTTGGGGAGATAAATTCGCGAACAAGCCACTCCTGGTATCACTTGGAACCCAAATTCTTGCCTTACTGATAATCAAACTGATACTCAGTCAAAATCTGGTTTATGGAGAGCTCACTAAGGTTAGAAAGGAGAACATCCAGTTGAGGGTTGGGGGAGTCTTCCGGGTAAAGTAAGTGCTTAATTTGTGTTTTCCCAAGCTATTGCTTATACTAATAACCACTCTGTGAATCTCAACAACGATAACGTACGCAAGGCCTCCCCTCCGCTCTGATCCCACTTGAAGCGTCCCATAAATTTAGATAGAGTGAGCGGTTTTGTTCAAAAACATTCCTCAAAGTAGCAGGCAATTGCTTCTTCTTCTCCGTCCGTCTTAAATGGCAAATGAACCAGGAAAAGAAAGCTTTACATTACGCACCATCCGATAAAGTTTGCGTCTGTATTCGAAGCTAATTAACTCTCTAAATTAGCATATATTACATATGATACGTCAGCATAGGTAGTACTTGACCGAGGCCTTACCGTACATAGCGATGCAGAAAGTGAGGTAGGTAAGTATGTCGTATGAAAGTAGAAGTCTGTACAAAGAGTTAAGTGAATCTCAATTTTTGGCGGGTCATGGACAGACCCTTCAGCTTCAGATGGGAATCGAACTTTAATGGGTGCTTTCATGATACCTTTTTTTACTCCCCATTACGCTACCAAGCTCCGTACGGTCTCTCTCATCCCTTGGTGATATTTTCATCAACACTTTCAGCGCTCACATCCATAAAATGATCGTTCTCGTTGCAAATATGGGGCCAGTCGCCTATCCATAGCCCCATATGGGCTGACTGACCCCGTATTGTCAAGGTTTATGATACCATGAGCTTTAACATTTGTACAAAATGAGCAAAAATACAACAATTCAGGCAGGATTCTCTTTTTATGGAGTAGCTCCGGCTGAAAAAGGTAAACCGGACAGTTTTTATTAGTACAATATTTAGAGGGGAAGATAAACTTCACGACATAACAAATTGATACTGTAAAAAAAGACTCTACATGTATTACCGTACACGTTTACCATTACAGATGTCGGTAGGTTTGATGAATGAATTTACGCGCCGTTGCGGTGAGGTAAAATGCATGGAGTGCCCATTGAATGGGATGCTATTAAAGTCATTTTCACGTATAACTCTCTCAGTTCTGTCCAGTAACACCGTGCCATCTGAGTTTCGCGTCTTTTGCCATCCAACGTCGCCTTCATAGTCGGCAACGTTGGATGGCATGAAGGAGCATTGCCACCGGGTCATCTGAGTGATTACGTTCTTTTTCTAATACGCCNTGAATGGGATGCTATTAAAGTCATTTTCACGTATAACTCTCTCAGTTCTGTCCAGTAACACCGTGCCATCTGAGTTTCGCGTCTTCTGCTATCCAACGTCGCCTCCATAGTCGGCGATGTTGGAAGCATGAAGAAGCATTGCCACTGGGTCATCTGAGTGATTACGTTCTTTTTCTAATACGCCATGAATCCTCAAAATTGCATGAACTAACGCCGCTGATTGCTGTTAACTCTGATTTTTCATATATATTGTGTGCTGTTCTACGGAACCCCCGTTCGTTCTACGATCTGATTTGTTTTTATTCCGGTTGGCTGGCGTCCGATTGGTCAGAATGTGTTCCGGTTTGTGGACGTGGTCGACGTACTCGAAGTGTATACTGTGTTCATCATACGGTAGACCAGGCATTGAACGTACCGGAGAAATTCTGCGAGAATCAAACAAAACCGGTAAGGCCGACATTTGATTGGTCAGGGATCACTGTACTTGAAAAATATTTATTTTGCTGTAACCGTCAGTTCCAATTTTCGTATGCCACTTATGTGGCAGGCATGAACCACAAAAAGCTATTGCCATACGAGACGGTCAGGCCATTCGGGCTTCGTTCATCATCTTCTAGTCCTAGGAAGAACTTGAGAAGTCGGAAAGTGTCAGCTGAAGTTTCCGGTTACCAATTTTCGTCCTTGGTTACATACTGGTTAAGCCGATCCCAGTAGAGAAGCTGCTCGCACCGGTTTCGTTGCTCCGAGATCTTCTATATTTCCATTCCCGCTGATAGCGTGCTAAATGCTGTCGGGCCCAAAACCTTCTTTCCTCTACTCAACTCCTGCTCCTCTACCTTCGTGAACCTGTTCCAAAGCTTTCCCAAATCTTATTTCGGGCTGAAAAGAAAAAAGAGCCAAAACTCATTCATCCGTGATGCACTCCTATGCACTTACCTTCCCGAGCCTTCCGTTAGTTTCATTTTTCGGTATAGCAATTTCTGCCCTGCTGTCTTTCACCCCAGCTATCCCATCTAAGTATAAAAGGTGGCAAAATGCTCTAATTTCTAAATTCTGATTTTCAGGTTTCAGTAATTAGGATATTTTGACCTTTCGATATTTCCACTGCCTCTGCGAAACTTCAAAGGATAGAATCTCTGAGATACCTTTCCCTCTATTTTCCACTTCATATTCCGATTCCTATGAAGATACCAAAGTGGAAAAAAGAGTAGGATCGAGATTTCTCTCCCCTCATCTGATGTTTCGGTGAACTTCAACCACCTACCGGGATAGGATGCAACCACTCATGAGTTTGACACTCGCGAGTTCCGTTTTCCACCAACTTGAGTACTTACCCACAGAGTCCGATTCCGAATTTGGTCCAGCCCTTCTAACCGCCGTGTCTGATCGTCATATAGCCCGTTGTTTGTATTGTATAAAATTTTCGGTTTGTGAACCTTGATTTATCTCAATTTAGGTATCCGAAGAAAACTGCTCCAATGAGTCTTGTGGACACTGGGTTGCCGGGAAATGGACCAAATGTTCCTCTACGTGTGGGCAAGGAATCAGGCGAAGAACGGTTAGTGTCTGTCATTGTTTTTAGCTAGGGCTCTGAACTGTGTTTTACTTACTTCGGTTGCTTTTATCTCCCTCTTTCCTACTGTAGGATGAAAATTGCTGATTCCAGGTGGAGTGTCTTGGCGGAAGGGATTGTCCATTCACGGCGAAACCGATTTCTGAAGCACCTTGCTACTCGGGAGTACCATGTATCGATCAGATTGCACAAAATCCTCAAGCATGGACTCAACTGGACAACAGGTAGGGGACCTCTACCTTTCTGGGGTTTTTTGGGCTCCTCTGATCAACTGGATGACCCCCAGCCATAAGTAGGAAGGCGTAAGTTTCAAAGTCTTTTCAATTCGTATTTGATTTAACCTCGGGGGAAATCCTCTGCTCCTGCGCGCAACATAGATGATAAATGACAACTTTGTCCAGCGGACATGGTGGATTTTAACGAAGAGCCTCCCCTTCTTTTGAACAGATCACAGCCAAAAAGTGCATGCAAAAGCAGGCCCAAGAAAAAAACTGGCCCGTGCAGCAGCCTGGTTTTCGACTTCGGAAAAAATCCCCTTTTGAAATCCCTGGGCTGAGAAAATCGCGCCAACTTCCGTGCTACACAATGGCAAGGATTACTCGAATGTATAGTAGAGAAACATCAGCAGAGAGTTTGGAGCTCTATTCGTCTTAATCCCCTTCGAAAACCCCCCGATATCATCCATCACTTCAGTAAGCTCTCGTCCACCTTTCGTTGAACCAACGGTGATTGGTTGCCGGGGCGGAGACCCGAGCCCGCCCATCCGACATCTCCACCCACTTTGTACTCGTCGACTCGGCCGGGTAGAACCTTCGCCTAGCTCCGCTATGGAGCCTCCATTAGTTGTTACTACTATTTTGTCTTTTTTGGCAGTTATCCATCGATCCACAGCTAGGTGAGTCTTTTCCGCCTCCATTTATCTCCCATAGCCTTTTCTGGTCAGATCTGGCGATTTTGGGCGGTCCTGGAAAGTTCAGGAAGATGTTTGGGTCACGTCGTAGAAGCTGTCTTGGGAGAGGAAGCATCCTCCCAGGTTAAATTCGAGTACAGGAAAAGGGTCCTCCTTGAAAGTGCTTCCATTTAACGTCTAGTGACCTCTCCCAGGTGGTTGTGCCAGCTGATTCGTTTCCACCCAATTCACCCCATCCAATAGGTTTGGTTGTTTCACTAGGTCAATAGCCCCAGAAATTGGTACCGACTCAATATGTTTTATAGTTTCCTTCCGAGAAATCTGGTCTCCCATTTGGGCAAACCATGTCACCCCATCAATTACCCGTCCGTGAATTGGCAGTTTGAAGAGGGGGTGGACGTAAGCGAATTATTCGAGTAATTCGCGTTGACACATCCCATAATCGCTACATTGTCATTCAAATGTCTAGGCTTTGAGTGGCCCTTCTCGAAGAAGGGCACTTCTATGTCTATATAGGGACCACTTCTTCCCAGTTGAGCGTGGTCGCATCATTCCCATAATTTACAATTGATTGCTTAGTTGGCGGCTTCTTTCTGGTTTATCTGAGGTCACTGGACTCGAGCCAGTAGTTACCACCGCTGTACAGCCTGGTTATCAGTTCTCCAGGAGAGTTTACGGGTGGTTCTTTGCCGATTGACCCTTGGATGCACGGAATTCGTTCAACGGCCAGCTGGCTGCTCCTTAGGGATTAACTCAAAATCGACCAAAGCATTTGTTATGTAGGCTTATATGAGCCTCGAGCGCGTCTCATGAGACAATCATTCTCTTTGGAGAAATTCGTCGAAATGGCGTCAGATCAAATCGTCGGGGCAGTTCGTAAAATCTCTGACCATAAGTGTCAAGAAGGTGTTTTATCTGATGAGCCCGTATGGGAAGATTACGGTCGTGATTTATTAGCTCGCAGTTATTATCTCGTTTGGGTTGGTTGGATTGCATAGCAGGTTGAATTGGGACAATATGTTGTGGCATAGGGACGTCCTCTTCCACATCCGAGTGCGCCATGCTTTCGTGCTTTGCTCAAATTTGCTGGAGTTCTGCTCATAAAGCGTCCTAAGATTCATTGATCAAAAGCTTCCAAAGAACTTTTCATGTTTGTGGAAAGTGGAAAGTTAATGGGAAAGTATTGGTGAAGCATTTGCTTCCACCTACGCTTCCAGAAGGTTGGTGGTGGTGGGAAATAGGGGGTACAGCGTCGAGACTTTCAAAAAGACCCCCAGACAATTAAACTTGTGAACTTCAATGCTCTTCGAGCTGGCTTTTATTTACATTTCCCACCAACTGAATAATGACTGAGGAATGAGCGCAGGGTTTCCCAGGCACCCACAAAGGAAATCATTAATGTTTCACAAAAATGCCAATAAAAACAATGAAAAATGCCTTATAGATTTTTAGTTACAAAATACCATTACCAAACAATTCGTTTATACTTATCGGCAACCCTGTAGATCATACCTGTCAGGACACCATCGGGGAATCGCCTGAGTGATTCCCCGGGGGAACGGAACTTACGTGCTTCCGAGGATGCGCGCGGCATATTGCGCTGCGAAGTGCGTGGCGGTTCAAGCGACCCTGGCGCCTACCATTCGGGCACAAACTTGAAGTAGGGTAGATTAGAAGGGTCAGCTGATCTTACTAATCTACTCTACTTCAAGTTTGTGCCCTAATAATAGGTTCCAGAGTCGTTCGAATCGCCACGAATATGTACCCATACCCGATTCCCCGATGGTGTCCTGACAGGTATGAACTACAGTGATCTAAGGTGGTTTCATGGCCTTAGATACGTTTTCAAGATTTAGTCATAAGCACAGCCCCCTTCCGAAACCGAAAGCTGGAAGGTATTCAGAAATACGAGGTTTGAATGATTTATTGAAACTGCCAGGCACGTAGGCTTCATAGCCAAAGGTCTCAGTCACGTCTTATGTCCACATGGTCGTAATGTAGCATCAGTCAGCTATCTCATTCAAGCAGTTCCGGTGTAGCCATTCAGAAGAACGGTTGAATCAGACGACTGTCGGCAATATTTGCAATATACGCGTATAGAAATCTGACCAGCGCTTTTACAACCCCCTTATAAGGCGATACAAACCATTCCCAGGGCCCTTTGAGAGAACGGGTGACTAAGTATCTGCATTTTTGGACAAGCTACGTCTGTTGTAGGTGAATTGCAGCCTCCTTCGGACGAAATGATATAGCTGCGGAAATCGGAAATCGGAAAGCGTGTTTCGTAAAGTGCCAGCGAACTTCGAGGATGCGCTATAACACCCAGTTGTTCTAGTGACCCTTGGCGCCTCATCGAACCCAAAGACGCGATAATAACTCATCGATATACCTGGGTAGGTTAAGATGGGGTGAGATAATCCGTACCAGTACGGTTTTACGATGAACCCTAAATGTTTCGAGCATGATCGATCCTCGACACGTAGTCGTGGGACCATACCATAACTCATTTTTCATGCTTGCCAATCATCGTCTCGAGCGATCCCATCACGACGACGACGAGGCTCCATTACACATACGGAAAAAACATCATTTTCCTCTTCAACGCAATCCTTTGTCTAGCAAAATAAGTGATAGCAGCCGGCTTAGTTCCGACATCATTTCAGCGACTCATCGAAATCTTTTTAGGGCAAGGTCCTTTTAGAGTCAAGAAGGACAAAACCATGATGAATGACAATAAGGGCATTCCTTCACGAAATTTCATTGCATGTCTTCGTTGTGGTGATCTCAGTGCATGCCATCTTTGTGGTGGAATTCCGATTTGGAACGCTCCTCAGGAAAAAAGCTATTGCTCGAGGATGCGCCGCGCACTTCTCTTTCACTGAAAATCATAGTAGATTAAGGGCCTATTCTAGCAATCCTGCAACCTGAGGAGGTCTTTCCATCTCTCTGATCCGAAAATAGGTGCATCATAAAAGCATACATCGGATACATCTAGTTTCCCCAAATCAACCCATGAAAAGAGGCTGACCCACTGATTTGTCCTTCTGTCCCTCTCTCATAGGCGCCACATTCATGGTTCCATCCGAGTTCGTGGGAACAGTTCGTGGGATTGTGTCGTTGGGACATGTTGCCCTCCAGCTTTCCACTGAACTAGTTAGTGTTGACGTCAGTGTGTTGTTTATTTGTCTGAAAGAATTTTATACCAGAATATCGGTCCCAGGCGATGATAGACTTGGTTCTTGGTTGGCTGGATAGGATCCGATCGAAGGTTTGATCCTCTGACCATAGGTTTAAAGGGGGCACTGCTTCCCGTTACTCATACATACCCGTCTTTCTTGGAAATTGCATATCCTGAAAGATGGGTTGAAAAAGTTTTGGTTCCGATTTGTGAGTTTGGGCAGATTTCTATAAAATCCTCAAGTAGGTCCGCTCGAAGGAGTGCCTAAGTCACTTTCTCACCATTTATTGTCAGAGAGCGCTGTAACACATGTAAGAGGCAATATTATCGTTCGATCAATCTATAGGGAACAGTAAAGAAGTCATCTGTCACTGGCACCACCCTTCTGCTTATGAATTAGCACCCAGCCGATCGGTAAGAATGCTAATACTGCCATACGCTTGCCAAATATCGCGCTCTTCAAAGCAATACAGG